CCCCCCCCCCCCCCCCCCCCCCAAAGGGGTGCGGTGACAACATCTCTTCGCCAGCCGCACCCTATCGATTCACGCCTCTTTCACACAACACCCCTGCGGGAGAGTAAGGAAAGATAAAAAAATAATACAAAATGAAGTACTTCTCCCCACAGACGACATGGTCTATGTACCACACCCTAACGTTAACACAGGCCGAAACTGTCACAACTCCTGATCGCCGGGGGCACTGGTGAAAACACCCAACTACCGGGTAACGAAAGGTACCGCACCCCCTGCAAAAAAAACGCTTGATGCTTGGTTCATACGCTCGCATGTACCAACATGGACGTGATGTTCTAGACTTTATATAGATTATCCCTCGTCGTACACAAAAAAGACGTTCATGAAATACATGAGCGAACGCGGGAGCGCTCCTCGCACCCTCGCGTAAAGTCGGGATGGGAAGCGTTCACCATCCGGTTTCTGCATATATATGACGGAGCCCCCCCCCCTCCTCCGATTCATTCATTCACCCCGAGGGGAACAGAAGCGCCACATGGCATACACACAACTATAATAGCTACTATGATGTGTTGGGGATCAGGAATCCGCTACCTTGTACCAGGAAGACTGCTTACACCATGCCACAAGGAAATGTATGCTAATATGAAGCCGCTACTATGTACAAGGAATAGCTGCTCAGAACATGTAACGAAAATATACACTACATACAGACGCAAGCGCCGAAAATTCATGACTACTTTGACTACGACCCCCGTGGGTGAACGAAGACCAGCATGTGACTTCGCGTACAACTCTACACATGATACCCTTCGCGACGTGCGACATACGAAACGAAACGGCCAAGCGGTGGTGACAATCCACTGCCGGACACAAAATACTCTCACAGGGGCGGCGTGAACGTTGCGAGTACATACATGTAAGATTTTAGATGCGATGTATGAGCAACACGACCCCGGATCATTCTTCAAATCACGTTGCACTGCACACTATGCGTGCCCGGCACTCGTGTAGTCCTGGATATCCCAACCCTAAAAAGACCCCAACACACATACATACATACGTGGGAAATACAGCACGGAGGAAGGTACACCGACTATCATAGCCGCAAAACTTCACCCACCACATGGACTCAGGGGGAAATGAAGCACCGGGAACGGCAAAAGTTTGAACTAAGAAGGCTTGGAGGGCAGAGAACCCAGTTTTACAGCACGAGACGCATCATTCAACATACAACAAGAGAACGGCCGCTGTCGCCAAGCATTAGTCCACACAACATCGGTCTCCTCGCTTGCGCAGAACGAAACAAGGGGGGGCGGCAGAAGGAAAAACAATGTACCTCTACACGAATCCCACAATCGCTCGGAACACTTCTTCAGCTTCCAGCCCCACCACTCTCGCCAATACGCCGCCGCCCACATCCCGACCACCAGAGGCGTCGCCCCCTGCGCACTCCGCCCCTTGGCGCAGAACCTTTCCACCCACTACTCGGCTGTCCTCTTCTTCCCTCTCCGCTCGGACACGGCTCAAGACCAGCGGGCCTCTCCGTCGCCAGGCTCTGTCCGCGGGAGCTCTCCTCAGCAACCGCTTCAGGGGCTCCGCGGAACTGCTGCGGGTGACTACTACCTGCTCAGGGGTGCGCCCGAAGTTATCCTCAGCGGTTTCATCGGCGCCGCGCCTGAGAAGGAAGTCGATATCCGCGGCCGAGCTGTCCGTCGCCGGAGCCGCGGCGACGATGTGGAGAGGGGTCCGGCCGTGGCCATCGGCTGCGTTGACGTCCGCCCCCCTCTGTAAAAGCAGCGCCATTCTCGGGGTGTTGCTGCGCCGGAAGAAGGCGGCGATGTGCAGCGGCGTCAGGCCCACGTGAGAGTCCCGGTGTCCCGGCAGCCAGACCTGAGAGCTCCGAGCTTCGAGGTCAGCGCCGGCTCCCACGAGCGCCTCGATCACGCACGGCTTGCCGCGGTAGGCCGCCCAGTGGAGCGCGGTGAACCCGAACCCGTCGCAACTCTTAACGTCGGCACCGTGCTTCAGGAGCGCCCGCGTCATCGCCGCCTCTCTGCTGCTGCACGCCAGCTGAAGGGGCGAGAACTTGAGGCTGGACCCGTATCGGGCGCTGGGATCAGCCCCGGCCTTGAGCAGGGCCTCCGCGGCTACTGTATGGCCCGCTCTCACCGCCGCATGGAGCGGACACCGCCCCTGGCCGTCCGCTGCGCCCACGCTGGCCCCCCGGCGCAAGAGCGTGCAGACGGAGTGCCCGTCGCCTGCGGCGGCCGCGATGTGAAGAGGAGTTTCGCCGCAGCTGTCCTTCGCGTTAACGTCGGCTCCGGCGATCATCACGTCCCCGGCCAGCACGCGGTGCCCCCCCCGGAGGGCATAGTGCAGGGCGCTGCGGTTGTCGGAGTCGAGCAGCGAGACGCCCGCGCCCGCGAGCATGAGCACTCGCGCCACGGCCGTGTGGCCGCCCGCGATCGCTCGGTGCAGAGGCGACCTCCGGTCACTCCCCGTCACCGCGTTGACATCGCCGAGGCTCCCGGCCTCTAGCAAGGCCGACACGGTCTTGCTATTGCCACCCTGGACGGCCACGTCCAGCAGGCTGCGGCCGTCGCAGCCCTTCCAGCCCGCGCCCCCGTCAGCGCCGGCTCTGAGGAGCGTGGAGGCGAGGTGCTGGTTGCCCTCCGCGACGGCGTGCTCCAGGGGGGCTCGCAGCCACTCCGCCCATTGCGCGGGCGTCGCGTGTCTGGAGACCAGCTTGAACAGCTGCTCCTCCGTGCCGCCCAGGGCTGCCGTACGCTCGTCGAAATTTGCCATGTGCCTTCTCGGAGTTGTGCCCCCTCGATTTTTTTCTTGTACTGTACCAGTAGTCTCTAACCTGATTGGTCGCGGAATGTTCACGATCACAGGGCTCGCAGATTGACCTGTACGCCACGACACCAAACGCAAGCCAGACGGGAACGGTAAAGGGTAGTAACTGCCCAAGGGCGATAGCAAGATTGTATGGATACATGCACTGTAGTTGGTGGGAGAACAAAAGTGCAGTTCAGAACGGGGGCGAGCCTACGAAATCCCAAGCTCAATGGGACCGAGGTTTCCGCCTCTTATTTCGTCGCCACCGCCGTCGAGCGAACGTCATTTTTCATTGTATATATCAGAGTTTAGTGTGGGATCCACCGCTGAGCTGCTACTGTGTACCATCCATGTTTTCTATTTTTCGTGGCAAATTATTTTGGGCGTCTATCTGATCTTAGTTGTGGGCCCGTTCTGCGCAGCAAATGGCGGGTCTATGTACAATACAACAAACAGCAGTGGGCTCGAGAGAGAAAGATATCGCGACAGGTCCGCAAGATTCAGTCTTCCTTTAGCATGATTGCTGTCTAGACTAGGTATCGGACGTGCAAGAGACGAGACAGAGAGTAGTTGACAATTAGGTCCCGGGCACTAAAGACGGCCAACCATGGCTAGGCTAGTGGCGTGTGCCACAGCACGCCACATGCTCGCAATTGCGACTAATTACCCCGCGGCGAGCGCGCCCACCTTTCCCCTTTTTCTTGTGGGAAAGTAATCGTCTATTACTACATGTAGATAGACTATCCACCTGCTCAGCTTTCATGAAACCTCGAACGGTGTGGCTGGGCCCGCTACACTCACACGACATACACACCAGTATCGTTGTAGGGTGTGCCTTACGATCGCTGTCAAGAGGCTTCTGGAGAGGATGTCTGGGGTTTGTGTGGTGGGCAGAGGAGGACGGAGACCTACCGGTAACTGTTCTGAGAAGAATGTACTTCCTTTTTTTTACGTCTTGTAGAAATATGTACGACCCTGAGCATGTCAAATCAAGGAGGCAATCCTTGCCTGCGCTCCGTTGGAGATCAACATCGGCGAGTCGGTGAGCAAACGATACAGCGAAGGGATTCTGTCCCGAACGATCCTTACTACGGTTGGTTGTGGGACCCGGCCCGGAGTGTAGTGTCGTCTTGCTCGCAGCTTGTCACAAACAAACAAACTTTGTAACGGAAATTCCCGAAAATAGAATGGAAAGTACATGTACGCACTCAACATCCAAGCACCTTTCAGGAAGTTTGGCGGTTGGCATTGACCCTCACCTCCAGCGGTAACGCACCCTGTAAAGCGCACGTCCCTGAATCTACACGTTCAGCACTTGGGTACGGTTTGGTGGGACACGGCAGCAGTGGAGCAGTGGGGTACTCCTTTTCTCATGAGACGTTACGGGAAAAAGTTTTCCCCGAAGAAGATACCCAACGAACGGTTGGCAGGCCATATATCGGAATTCCGACCCAAGTCGCTTCCCAAAATAGCTGCCTACGAGGGGGCCTGTAACACTCACCATCGGTGGGGGCCAGAGACCCAGGGAGAAAGGTGGCGTGATAGAAGCGGACCGTGGCGCGTGTCTTTTGGCTGTCTGCTGTCGAGGGATGACCACTTCTGACCAGTGACGGCAGCAGGGTGGGGAGAGCGGTAGGCGGTTGAGGGGTGGTCTGCAGCTCAAGTAACGCCTCTGCAGATTAACACGCCGATATGACAGTCCCGAGCCTGTGGTCGCTGCTTGCTGCTTGCTGCTGCTGCCTTGTTGCTGCACTACAATACCGCTACCGCGCGCTCTTTGTTTGTCACGCCGACTCGAGCCTCGCACCCCCCCCCTCTGCCCACCTCATCGCAACTACTAACAGGTACGTGATGTGGAGGAATTTCCTCGTGATATGTATTCTCTGTGCAGAGCATTGTGGTCGGCTGCTCGAGAGACGTGAATTTACAAACAGCAGCTCTTGCCCCTGCGGACACAGCATATTTAGTCCGTAAGTCTGCACTGGCTCTGTGTCTTGTGGTCTACGGCTACCTCTTTGGATCACCGCCGAACCTTAGTCTACCCCCCCACAAAAGACCTAGGTTTGGGGCGATGCCGTGAGATGGTCCGCCAACCGCATGCAGGACCTACACAGCAGTAACTGGCTGTTTGCGAGACAGCAAGGAGCAGGGAGCGTGCATCGGTGCACCCACAGCAGTAAAGATGTGAAGTACCACAATGTAGACTGGAACAACAGCAGTGCGCTGTACAAGTAAAGTACTGCTGTAGACGATGTTATCATGTTATCATGTTCAAATGGCGTTCTCTCACAACATCCAGAGGATGACGATGCAGGATTATCTTTGTTGTCTACTCGGGAGCACTGTTGTAGTCAAAGCAAAATACGAGCCCCATGGTGGCTTCTATACGGTAGACCTCGGCATGGCACTGGCTGTAGTCCACCGCCGTGTGCATGTGGCTCTTCAGGTCATACCTACAATACTTGTCATGTTCAGGGAATCACAGCAGCAGCTAGTTGTAGTTTACGCACTTATTGTACTGATCGCCGATTCGACACAAAAAGCGCAGCTATGTAGCTGTCGTCTCTCTTCCTCTTCGCCCGAACAGGCCCTTAAGTTTACTAGTCTGGTACAGCTTTTTCGGCCGCCCTATGCAGACTACGTGTTACTGCCACTGTTGTAGGCTATCGGTATATCGAAAGATACGCTTGCCTGTCCCGATATCCTCATCTTTCACTTGGGCTTGCTTTCATGTTCTACTGCTGTAGACCGGCGACTGTATGATAGATGAGTGCACTCAACCCATTCGTTGCGTTCCCGCGGGGTTAAGGATACAAGGCAACCATGCGGTGGTCAAACAACTCGACATCGTAGGGAATACCACCGCTGTGCATACGCCTCCAATTTTCTTCTAGCAGAAAGCTTGATCAGCGTCGGGAACTATTATAACATTGCCGTGGGAAGGGGTACAAGTGCTTCCGCGTCAGTACCGACGGTTCTGCAGCAATCTTATGGTGGAGGAACGAGGAGCCGGGCCGAGAGCAACGATTGACAGCCAAGGGTTGGGTAGCGCTGTTGGTCCGACGACCGGGGGGCAGCAGGGATGCTACGAGCGTCTCCGAGGGGATGGCGGACCTACCCGTCACGTTTGCTTGATGGGGGTATCGGAGCGCGACGATGACGCCGTTGGAGAAGTGAGCCTTTCTTTCGGGAAGGTATCGAGTATCGAGCGGAACGCGAAGGTGAGAGAGATTAATTAACAGGGAAATTCATTGTGTTTGCGCGACGCCCCCTCTCTGGTTGGTGACTTCGACGTGCGGTAATAACAGCAGCAGCGAGCGGGTGCAGCAAGAGGTTGGTGTCTGGTTGTTTTTTGTACGCTTAAGGAGCTCACGTTCCTTCAAATCTCTGGTCTACCGATTCTCTGTTCTTGGAACAAAGAATTATCTGCTGCTTTTACTCTAGCGGGGTTTTGTCACGAGCAGCGTGTTGTGCTGTTGTTTTGGGCTGGCTTTCTTGTTGGGGAGAACGGCGTGGAGCGTCCACCCTCCTCTCTCTCTCGCTGTTTTGTTGCAGTCCAACCTGGCGAACTGCGGTGGTGGCTGCGAACACAGCTTGCTGCTAACACCACAAACAAGGAAACTACTCTCCCGTAGTTACATGGCTGCAATCACCAAACCTCCGTCGCGGGCAGCCTTGCGGTACTTTTAACTCGAGTGCCGGGACTGCTTTGGCCCTTACTAAGGAAACTCACGCCCCCAGGCATGGAACCCAAACATCCCTCTCCGAATGGCAGAACCGAGGCATTCGGGTAGTGACGTACGATGCAGTCGCAGATGCGACGGCTGCCCAAGCGGGTCTGGCGGCGGGACTCGCTCCTCGAATGGGCCGAACCGTGGCGGTTCATTTTTGCTCCCTGGTCCCTCCGAAGGTGATTTTTACACACTTGTATGAAGAGTATTTTTTGTCTTCCGTGTCGTCCGTGTCGTCCGTAAGAGTGACGTAGTACGCACATCGGGGCAAGCCGGGTGCCTGTTTGCTCTTATTTTCCACGCCACGCGACAACGAGCCGGGGATAGAGGCACCATTGCATTTTTCCCATTTAGTCCCAGCCAATCAGCGATACACGCATTCTTCAAGTACCACAACTTGTTTGAAAATGTTCGGACCACTCGGATGCAATATGAATATCCCAATGGTCCCTTTATCTCCGAAAAGGATGGTAGAAAAGCTTGCAATAGTAGTTTTTCGACACTACTGTTGTGCAGCGATGACGCGTCGTTTCCTCCTGGATCAAGCCCGCGAACGATGCACTCTCTATCATACCCCGATCACATCTACAGCATGACGCCGGTCTTTTGCCCCCCGACTGCAACACCCCCCCCGATATGACCACCCACGGAAATGATTGTAGCATCAGCAATCCTGACTGCTGACTATCGCCTAACTTTGCCCCATCGCGGACTTGTTCGACAAACCTCTCCTTGTACTCAGGTAATTAATTGACACTTCGGTTGTCGTATTTTTGTCTCTGTCACGGAATTTGATTTCAACAGCCGCGGGAAGGCTTGCGCTGTACTTCGGAAACCGCTGGCGTGGACGTTCCAGGCCTGACGTTAATCAAAGGGTTTGTTACAGAGGAGGAAGAAGGTTCCTTGCTGAAGCACTTCGTGCAGGGTGACGACGTCCGGTGGACAGGCCCTCTCAAGCGTCGAGTTCAGCATTTCGGGTGAGAGCATTCGCGTACGTATCGGAGGGGAAGGGTTTGATGGTCCTCTGCGGAAGGCTCGGGATACATAGAAGTATACACTTATTGATGGCGCCCGCACTACAGAACCTCTACTATGGTTTTGGCTGAGGCTGGGATTCTTCAGTAGTTCCTAGGTTATGTTGCGAATGGCCGCTACATAGGTTTTAGTTTAGGGGTTCTCAAGGAGGTGCAGAAGACGACTTTTGATGTTGACTAATTTTGAAATCAAATGCAAGAGCACCAGAAATTGCACAACAGACACACCAGACCAGTAGGAAGGCAGCGCGAACAACGGAAATCGTTGATTCCCGCACAGGGCGGCAGTAGAGGCTGCTCAAAACATGCATTTCACGCGTCTACCTCCACACGCCTCCTTTGAAATCAAGATAAAATTTTACACCATTCTAAATTCTAGTCAAACAAGGTCAGTTTTGAAGGTTAGGTTAGGCATTCTATTGTCTTCAGTAGAGGACATCATGAAGAGGCGTCGTGCGTGCTGGCACGTTCAGGTTTGCTACTGGAGCTGAAATATCGAAGGTCGCGGCAGCCTCTGAAAACAGTCCGAAATCTGCGCCGGCACCAAGCGGCATCCAACATTTGTCACAGCCGTGCTCGCCGCCACTGACTCCAATCCACTAACTGCGGGTTTACAGCAGCAGCTGATGCCACCAGCTACTGCTGACGACCCATGGTTCAGGGGTTTACTGTCCGCGGCGGTGAGCAAGGCTGTGACAAATGTTGGATGCCGCTTGGTTCCGGCGCAGATTTCGGACTGTTTTCAGAGGCTGCTGCGACCTTCGATATTTCAGCTCCAGCAGCAAACCTGAACGTACCAGCACGCACGATGCCTCTTCATGGTGTCCCCTACTGATGACAATAGAATGCGACACCTAACCCTGGCGGGAAGGTTGTTTTCTTTGTTTGTATCGGATTAAAGTATGGCAAAAAGAGCCAGCGTCACAACCCCTTTTCTGCACCTCCTCAACCGAGCTCACAAGGTGCTCAAGCTCTTATGATGGAAGATTTTGAGTTTTTCGAGACTAAATAATTTTTTTGAATTGCCAAGTTGTTAAGGGCGGGTGCTCGCTTTCAGGGCAATTCGCGTGGGTTACGACCATATACCGCTGCCTCGGATTTGTGGTGTGCGTTGTTCTGCCTCTCGTAGTGGTACCGTTTTCCTGTCAGCGTGCCCTCTTTCCTGTTTCTCCAATCGCTCGATTGTTGCAATGGAGTTCTACGGTGCGCGGCGTTTCCGTCCCATTTCGGCACCCCTCCCCCTCCGGTGAGACCGACCGTTATTGCTTGCCGTGTGCTGCTGAGATGAATCGATATCTTGTCGAGGACGTTGTAGGCAAAATCGACAAAAGTATCCACAGCAGAAGCTTGTGCGTTGGTTTCCTTTGTCGTGTCAGGCGGGTCTTCGACTACCACACAAGGCATGTGGACTTCGATGCCCCCGCCCCGCCGCTGCCGGAGTGCCTGACGGACGTCGTGAGGGAGATGGGGGATCGAGGTCTCAAGCCGTCGGACCCGGATCAGTTGACCCTGAACGAGTACAAGCCGTGAGTGGCGGAAAAATGAGAAAGCCTGACGGAATCGTCTTCTGGCTTTCTGCTATTTTGGCACCACAAGCCAACAGGTTTCATATTTATTGTCCTTGTAAGCATAATGCTCGTAGATCAATCGCCCGGAAGACCACCGCGTTTAAGGTGTGCTTATGCAGGTGTATGTCACCGTCCGTTCTTTGTAGCAAAGGAGGCCGGAGCGTGTGTTTCAACGTCATTCGGCTGGATTCCGCGGGAAGTCTGTGCGGTTGTGACGACCTTGAGCTTTCCCCCTCTGCAACCCACATAAGGCTGACACGAGTTGCCACTCACCACACATGGAAAGGGTCGCATTATCCGGCTTTGTTCTGCGGTTGCTGTCGATCATCGAGGAGACCTAACCCCAGAACCTAATGCTCGCCCACGGTATTACCCATCCGCCTCCCGCACAGAAGATAAAAATAGTGCGTGAACATCGCTTTCGTTTGTTCGGCAGCGATAAGGGATTCCGGCTGCCGCTTGCACCTCTCCATTTGCCGCCAAACCGCCTGCGTTTTTCTTTTGTTCCCCAGGGGGCAAGGGATATCTCCCCACGTGGACACCCACTCGGCGTTCGAAGACGGCTTGGCTTCGCTTTCTCTCGGCAGCGGTAAGTGCCAAGTGTCATGTGTCAAGTGTCAATCTCTTCCTTGAAACGCACTGGCATGCTTTGTCGGAGAATAAGTAGCCCAGGCCTTCGTAGACACGGTTAGGTGTAGAGGGCGACGCACTGCAGGAGGAAGGCGGAGAAAAAATTACTGTGTAGGATTTTTCTCCGTTGTGACTCGGAGTGATGCGTCCGAAAACATGGAGAAACTCAAACTTGTGCAGATGGATGTCTGGAGTAGATGGGATGGCAAACATGCATGCACTGTGTTCGTTAGGTACAGTACTGTATGCTTGCAGTAGTGCCACCCATCTTGTGGGATGCGGCGGCGGGGCAATGTCCCACCGCTTGCTCTCGAGTGTATTTACTAGCTGTGTCTCTTCTTGGTGCCGACACGGAAAGAAGGTACCAGGGTTAGCGTCAGGGAAGGTGCTTGTTCGAGATTTTATTGGGGAAAAATGTCTGACTGTTACTTAGAAGGGCGACTATTTGGTGGGGGACACAAGTTGCGTAGCTTGCGCGAAAGCACTCGCCTTGTGCTCGCCCCCAAAACCTGGAAACATTTCAATCCCCTCCACGTGCGTACGCCTGCCGACTTTGTTTTCTTCGTTTCCCAGCAACGTATGACCTGAGTGTTTCTTTTTTGAGCTCTTTGTTGTCGACGCCGTCACCCCAACACAGACAACTGTCCTAATATCAACGATGCCGTCATTTTTTCTATCGAAAGTTAAACTTGTTACTCCTACTGACGGCAACAAGCCCGTTCTACCTACCTACGCAGGCTGCGTGATGGACATGCGGCATCCGGACGGTGTGCGCGTGAAAAACTTGTACCTCCCGCGAGGCTCGTTGCTTGTTATGGAGGGTCCCGCGCGATACGAATGGTCCCACGGGATCGCCAGCCGCAAAACTGACATGGTACATGCGGTGTATTGTCTCCGAATCCAGTCCTACCCCCACCTATACTCCCTCCGCTGTATGCCACGATGCGTCGATGATTGTAAGGTTGAGCCGTTTAGCGCCGTGTGTGGTTGAGGAAGCCGGCGACAATGCACGTGGTGTGTTGCCATTGCGTCTATTTTGTGTATGAAGCCGAAGTGGGAGCAATTGGCGAGTTGTCCTTCCTGGTTGAATGCTGGATGGCACCGCAAGCCGTTCTTCCTCAACTGCGCGCTGTTGAGCGGTAACCAATTTCGGAGCCTGACGCCTCCCCCCCTCGCTCCTCCATGTTCTCTTGACGTCGTTGATTGCCACACATTTCTCAGGTTGACGGAGTGCTGACGAGGCGGGCGACGCGTATTTCGTTCACGTTCAGGCGCGTGCGAGACCCGGCGGTGGCGTGCGGGTGCGACTTCGCTAAGAGCTGCGATCGGGAGACGCCTGTGGCCACCGCCACCTTTCTCAAGAAAGGGTGACCCTAAGGGATAGGCATTTTGAACGGAAACCAGCACGCTACCGGGCGTTGAGATGCCGACCCGATGCAACCGTGATAACAGCAGTGGCCATGTCCTCTTGTGTCGCCCCCCGGGAGGCAAGCCACCTACCTCCCGAAGGGGAGCCTTGCAAATAGTACGATATATTGGTGGTGTAGAGGATTTCCTTTGAAGATTTTTCACGGAACAACAACAACAGCAGGTATCGTTAGCTGAGGGAATGTCTGTTGTCTTGAGATGCAGGCCCTTCGTCGGTAACAACGGAGGGTTTTGGGTTTCCACCTGCCGGGCTCATTCTGCGCCAAGCGTAGAATGCCGCGGGGTATTGGGGGAGTCTTCAGGGAAGAACTGCTGCTGCTGTTGTTTACGAACTCAGACTATACGCTGTGTTTGTGCTGTGTTCCTTCGTGCGGACGGTGCATTGTAGATTCGGACACGTGACACAGATCGGCTTCCGCCAGTATGCATAAGGGATGGTTCTTCGGACTTGGGTGGCTGTGTGTGAAATATGCTTATTCTCGAGTTGTTGCCACAAAAGAAAGGCAGCTCGGCGGCATTTTCACGCTACGACAAGAAGAAGAAGAGGTTTTCATTCCATGCTGTTGCTGGGATGCTGTGTTGGCCTGTGATCACGGAAGGCTCCCACCAACTCCCACGTTGCTAGCTGGACCGTTACTCTTGATTGAGCAGCGTGTAACGTGGTTTTTAATGTGAAGACAACCACAACAGACTAGCAGCTGAGTAGATGGGACCAAAACACAAAACGCACACCAGCATGCATCATCGACGGTGGAGACGGGACGGCACCGACCGGCGATTGGCCGATGAAATGCATGCAACAATACGCATGCCTACTGCTGCATGCAGTCTTCGATATTTATTTGATGGTGAAGAGGAGAAGGGCCCTAGACTAGGGATATGACCACCTAGAGACTACACCATACATACCCATGTACTGCACGATGATGGCGGGGTTGTTCGTGTGCGAGAACAACCGCCCCTCCCGAAGTAATCCAGGTGATATGGAATTTCGGTGATGGAGGCAATTGCTTGCTCGAATAATCATCACCGCAGACGAAAAGTCGACGATCAGATGGCAGCCCTGGGCAGCCTCGAAATAACTGAAAAATGATCTCCTTTTTTTCCTTGCAAGTGCAATTTTTGCAAAATCTCCGCCGTCAAATGTCCTGTCTGCGGTAGAAGTATCTACCATACACGCTCAATGAAGGTGTGAATGCCCACCCTTGCTGTGTAGAGCGGACACAACGTGGCGAGTCTCCAGCAAGAGAGGAAAATACGGTCTTTTGTGTTGTTGCTCCCGAGACAAAGATACATGTGAAGCGTGAGAGAAAACAGAGATAAGCCTGTTATCGGCCGAGCCATGTACACAGACGGAGCATGGTCCCGCCGCTCGAACAAGCTGGTGGGGCTGCACCTCTCTCTCTTGCGCCGGAAAGCTTGCAGTCGTTTGCACCAGCCGTGAAATACCGTCTACCGTGTTTTTGCGTGCCGGGCTGGATGGGATATATATGGGATACAGGATTTGGAATGATGTGGCAATATCCCGAAACGACAGTGGGCCAGGGGGGGCACAGAAACACTAGCTGCGGATCCCCCTCAAGTGAGAGAGCCAGGCAGCAGGCCTGCCCACAGGACAGAGAGGTTACGACAAGGATCGGCCGGGGCAGAAGCTGAAGTTCAAGGAAGATATAACTACTCAGATGCAAAATGGTGAGTCCAGGGTTGCGGTTGTGCCCCTGCTGGTTGGTGCTGCCAGGGCACGTTGCTTGGGGGCGTTCAAGACCACACTCGATTTTTGGGAGCGAGATTCGAACGACCGAAGGGATCACAGAAATTGACCTGAAAACTAGGACGCCATCTGCTGCGGCATATCACGGTGCTAGCGCTGTCCTCGATAGCTGGAGAAGGCGACGACGGCCCCTCGGACGCCGAAAGCGTTACGCCCGCGCGTGTGCGAGTCGTGCGCTGCTGTCGTCTTGCAGAGGGCCTCGAGAGGCTCGGGGTTGGGGGTTGGTTGTTGCCTCTGCTATCTTTTTCTTGGAAAGCCACCTTGCCGTATATCCCGACTCTCCTCTCAAACTTGTTTTTCGGTGCCCGAGCCAGCAAAGCGACGTCATCTTTATACACCGCCTAGAACAACCCCCTGCATCACCCCGACTACGCTCTCCGAAAGGCCACGCACTGCTCTCCCGCAACGCGCGGGAGGGTGTGGATCTCTCGCTGTGTCTCGCGCAGCACCTTTTGTCTACGGAAGGACCGAACAGTATTGTTTGTCGGCTTTCCGAACAGCACCGAGGATTCTCAGCCGCGCAAAACTCTGGTGCCGCTGCTGTTGCCAGACTTGGGCGGGGCCGGACCTCAATTTTGTTTGAGAGCCCGCTTTCGAAAATTGCCGGGCCGTTGTACACGCACCTCCCACCACCCAACGTGCCTAGCTCGCGTGCTTCCCCTGCGCTAGGCCCCGGCCGGGGGACGGAGGCTGCTCCGTTTGTTGGAGAAGTAGAGTTTTTATCGATGAGTTACCGAGTTGCTCCGCCGTACAGATAGCACCATCCACCCAACTCCAAACCCACGCGGAAATTTGTATTTTCTCAAATCTGTCTGTTGTTGTGCAAGGAAAGGGTAGAGACCGTCCTCCCGCAGGGGGGCCTGTTTTTCAGCTCCGGGTACCGCAAGGACAAACTCTATGGTGACATGTCCCCGCTGCGTCAAGGGAGAGAAGGTCTTGCAGGCTGGGTACTTGTTATTATAGCATTTCAGTCTCCCTTTGGTTTCATCTCCTAAGAAGGTTTGTGGGGGGCGGAGAGAGAGACGAATATATCTTGATCTTGCTTCGGTGGCGGGTGTTTTGCCGTCGGTTCCGCTGAGAACGACGACCGTTGGTCAAGAGTCAAGACCAGCATCTGCTCCGTGTAAATAATTGACATGTTCGATTCGATAGGAACAGACCATGGTCATCGAAACAGGCCGCCTTCTTTATTTTGTTCACGCGCGCTCTTCGTATTCTCAAGCAGCGGCCTCTTGCCACCAGCTTGTTGTTGCTGTTAACCCTGCAAATAACAATAACCTTGTTCTTACGAGTTATTAACGGCAGCAGTGTTGCGTGTCGTTCCACCTATAGCAGTCATCTTCACGCCCGCCCGCCCACCCACCCGCCGGTGCGTTAAAAATTGTGCCGCTGGCGGGGTGTTGTTGGAACGTTGGTGCTCCGTTGTCAGTATCCATCGTACATATACATATATTTACCACTCCATTTTTGTTTGTCTTTTAAATTTTGAAATGTGTAGGGTGGCATCGGTGGACAAAACAGTTACCGGCCGGGGCCTCTATGTTTTTTTTCGCCGACAGCAGCAGCAGCTCTGCAGACATGCCTTTTCCCGATATATCCCCCGCCCCTCCCACACCGAATTTTCACACTCGCGCGATGAGCGCCCAAAATATCTACTTGTTACTTGTACAACCCTTCCACTCTCCTCCCGCCCCCTCCCCCCCCTCCCCCCCACCGCCTCCGCACAGGCTCCAAGTACGTCCCGCCGCACCTAAGGGGTGGTGGGGGCGAAGAAGGACCAGGTCCCGCTGTCGTCCAGCCTGCGGGGATCCCTGGGGGACCGGGAGGACCAGTCCCTGTGCAAGGCGCCCCTCAACCCACCGGCGCTTGGGCTCCGCGGCCGGGGGCCGGCGGCTACCAGGGCGGCGGGGGGGGGTACCAGGGGGGCGGGGGAGGCGGGTATGATCCCGGAGGAGGTGGGGGGTACGGTGGCGGCGGCGGCGGCGGCCACGACCGTGGAGGTTACGGAGGCGGCGGCGGGGGATACCACGGCGGGGGCGGTGGGGGATACCAAGGAGGCGGCGGCGGGGGATACCATGGCGGGGGTGGCGGGAGGAAGTGAGTCATGTGTGTCGTGCCGGGCGGGGGTAGCGGGGGCGGGGGCGGTTAGCCGGTGTGGTTGCTCTAGCGTTCCTCGAGGTTTCTTCTCGAGATAAGCATTTCTAGGAATGCAACGGCAGCTGGATGAATCTGCCGGTCGGGCACCCTAAAAACAGCGACCGTCGGTGTTTGTTTCCATTCCAAATCTTATTGTTTCCCCACGAGGCTTGCCTTGTAGTATATCACTCTCGCATGATGTCGCAGATCGCGCTTGAGTTTGTTGGATATGGATACGACACACGTCTTCACGCACGCGTAGACGTTCGCTCATGTCTAAGGCGTGCGGTATGAGTTCTCGATGGTGGGAGTCTGCTACAGCAGTTGGCGTTTCAACAAGTGGCTGGTAGTTGTGTTGCAAGTAGCATACTTGACGTTTCCTGAGAACATTACACACAACCAGGGATTTACCGTTCTTGTCTAGGAAAGCGCTCAAGAGTTGGAGGCAGGGCATGGCTCTATTGTACTATAATAGTGCAGCAGGCTAGGGTTAGGGTTAGTGGTGATGATGTGGTTATGATTTCTTCCTACCCCCTGATATCTAGGAATAGATAGTCAATAGGAATCGTACTTGCTTTTTTTGTGGTTTTCGGGAAAGACGTGTGACATGCAGATCTTTTGTATGGGGTGTGTTTATTTAATTAATTAATTGTTTTTGGTTTGGGGAATGTTTTTTGGTTTTGGGGAGACGTATAATGTTGTGATGTGGGTGTGTTTATTCTTATTAATTTTTTTTCAGGTTTGGGGAGGGTGAGCCAGGATACGCGAGAACATACCGCGATAACAAGTAACAGGAGGTAGGAGGACAGTAATACAGCTGTGGTGTTCCATCGCTGGATATATGTAGTAGCTACTGTACGTGTTGACGTTTGGTGCGCAAGGTTGGGGTTTTGTACACGTGCCCGCTGTTTAATAGAGCATCGGGCGCGGGGCTCAAGCCGTACTTGGACAATGCGTTGCACTAAATATTGTACTTTTTTCTTGCGCCAAGAGTTCGTGTACCAATATAGATATGATTATGGCCGTTGTGATATTTTTGCGTCCAGCTCAAGTTTACATGTCATGGCAGACTCCCATTAACGTTGGCGCACCATGGGCATCGCCATTGACTTGAAGCACGCCCGTCATAACACTTCCAGTAGTGTAGTGGCACTGTGCGTCAATGGACCCACACTCAGCCCCCCCCCCCCCCCCCCCCCTTGAAAATTTTCTGCCAAACCACCCCCCCGGGAAAGGGGAAAACCCCCCCCCGCCCCCCCCAACCCCCCCCGGAAAAAACGGGGAAGGGGGGGGGGGGGAACCCCGGGGGGAAGAAAAAAACCCCAAAGGGTTCCCCGGGAAAAAAAAAAAAAACCCCCCCTTGGAAAAAACATTTT